TGATGCAATATCAGCTCCGAGTCCACATCCTCAATCAACACCCAGAAACCTTCCGATTGCCCGTGCACCTTTTCATCCCACTGAAAATCGGGCGTTATTGTCAGCTCCACGCGCAGCGTTGATCGCGTTATGGGCTGGATGTGCGTAGACAGCTCGAGTTTGGGAAACTGATGCACGAATTTGTGTATGGTCTTGCCCAGCTTGGGCACACGTATCAGTTCGCCCAGCTCATGCGGCTCCAGATCGTACAGGCGCGACCAGGGAAAGTGTTTCTTCTCCAGCTTCTTGGCGATTTCATCAGGCATCTTCTTGAATTGGCGCAACGGCGTCATCGACTGCCACATGCGACGATCAATCATCTTGCAAAGCGTCAGCGTTTTATCCGCCAACTGTGCCCAGCCACGCGTCAGCACAATCTCGAAGATGGCGCGCATTAGACGCGCAGCCGATTGTGTGATGAACACCATGTCGGACATCAAGGCAAAGCCCTCCAGCTTCAGCTGAGAGATGTACGCCTGGAGAAGCACATTCACCTTGGCGCTGTGCTCCTCAATGGACTCCTTGATGGGTATCGGCACACGCTCCATAAGCTTCTGCAGCTCCAGTTTCTCCTCCTCGCGCACAGAGATGTGCCTGAACTCCGACGACAAGGAGAACACGCGGAATAGCTCGATTTCGCTCAGAGTTTGCTTTAGCAACTGATTGTAGGTCAACATTGTCTCGTGGGTCAGGTAATAGTGGGATGCAATGCGTCCCAGATCCGTCACCTGGAAGTGTCCCGTCTTGCGGTCGTATTTGATCAAGCCACTGCGTTCCAGACTACAGGCAGCTGTATGCAGCAAATCCGCGCGATGTTGCTCCAGTAGCGGATCTGCTTTGATCGCATCATGCGAAACGCCATACAAAGTGGGATTGCGAAGCATACGTATATAGAGGTAGGTGTAGCCCAGCCAATTGACTGCATCTTGCAGATGTTGCACGGTGCCGAGCACAATCTCAGCATTCAACATGTCCGGCAACTTGGAAATGAACTGCGATTCAATGGGCAGCTGCTGATTGAGCAGCGATAGATAAAACTGCAGCTCGCTGTGATTCGTAATAAGTATGCCCTCGCCCTTGGTGTCGTACTGTGGCCGACCGGCACGTCCCAACATCTGCAGCACATCCAAGGCGCTCAGCTCCACCCAGCGGCCCTTCTCCGGATTGTACACTTGTGTGCCCTTGATGATGACCGTGTGCGCGGGCAAGTTCACACCCCAGGCCAGGGTGGCCGTCGACACCAGCACCTGAATATGCCGATCAGCAAAGAGATCCTCAACTAGCGTACGATCCACGCGCGTCATGCCAGCATGATGTATGGCGAAACCATATGGCAGCAATTCCTTTAGCTCTGTATTCTTCACCTGCTCCGCCTCAGTACGCAGCACTTCCATGCTGGCCGAGCCCTCGCGCAGAAAGCTGCCCAGCGTGTCCTGCTCGAGGCACATGTCACGCACTGCACGCGCCGTCTTGCCCGTCTCCTTGCGGGAGTGCACAAACACTAGCACCTGGTTGCGACCAGCATGCTCCATGGTCTTTTCATACACAATCTCGTTCATGACCTGTGTGGGAGATTAGAAATAATTATATTAACT